GTTGACGATGAGGCCCGTCAAGTTGACCATCCTAGAAGAAGGAGGTACAAATCCGCCTCACAAATTGTAAGACGGTGTCCGATACCCCATGTACTGCAAGTAGGTGCAAGGGCATACTCATGAGGACATGGCATATCAATTGGATGCGTCCGCCTGAAGATAGAAGCTGAAGCTTCCACCCGTCAAGTTTCTTCCTCAACTTGTACAAAAAGGAATCAAAGTAATGAACCTTAGTGCGTCCGAGGAAGATAGGGCATCCAAGGTAATCAAAGGGTAGATGACCACGCGAGAACCCTATTAGGTTCTATATGTGTCGTATGGTGCTAATGGTGGCAGAAGATGTAACCATAAAGCTACTCTTCGAGGCATTGACGAGTTGACCTGCAGCCCGCTCGTAGCTCGAGATGATAGTCATGAGTCTCTTGATGGATGCTTCACACTCATTAAGGAAAAGTATCGCATCATCAGCAAACAAAGAATGTGATATGATCAGGCAACCCCTCTTCGAATGATATAGTTGGATAAGCCCATGTGTCACTACTCGGGAGAGGGTTCGACTAAGGACTTCTTCAACCAATATGAAGAGAGTGGGTGATAGGGGATCACCCTGCCGTAACTCTCTCGTGGCTGTGAAGAAAGGTGTGGAAGTGCTGTTCACCAATAGGGAGAAATGGTTCTCCCTAATGCATGCATCGACCAGGTCAATGAACTCGTCAGTGAATCTGAAGCGTCGAAGCACTTCGGTAAAGAAATTTCACTCGATCCTATCAAAAGCCTTTTCCATGTCTAATTTGATGATGACATTAGAACCACGGATGTCCTGGTCAAGGGATTGTGCTAGTTCATGAACTAACATGATGTTATCATGAATGTGCCGTCCCTTAACAAATCCGTACTGCTCTGGAGATATGAGCCTATCAAGAAAAATACTCAGTCGTGCTGTAATGATCTTGGATACAACTTTATAGCACACATTACAAAGATTGATGGGAATTCTAATATTCTTACTATTCCTCATTTACACCTTTTTCTCCTCTTATAATTTTAATTATTCAAATACTTTGCGTACTTTACCTACTGATAAGTCTTCATTATCATGAGTTAATAATTAGTAACTAATATAGTTTTAGCCTTAACTCATGATAAATAGACTTATATTTGTGTTAAAAAATGATTTTTTGTTTTCAATTGATTAACGTGAATTTTTGGGTAATTATGTGATTTTATATGATTTTTACAGTCTTACTTTTGAGATAAATGAAGAACAAATAAAAATAAAAATATTGCAAAAATGGGAGGACCCGCAGGCAGGTCGGAAGCACAATCGGGGAGTAAATGATTTTTACAGTCTTACTTTTGAGATAAATGAAGAACAAATAAAAAAAAATATATTGCAAAAATGGGAGGACCCACAGGCGGGTCGGAAGTAGAGTCGGGAAATAAGTCGTGAGCAAGGGCTCGAGCGGCTTAGCTTAGGGAACGACAAGGCACGCGTACGCCACTCCCCTTCCACGTCATTGGTGGCTAACCGGCTGTAGGACAAGGAGTGGTCGTACACACGAGAGAAGTGACTTTGTTCACAAAGCTAACATTACTATATATTCGCCCAAAAAATCGGTGTACAACCGATGTGGGACTAAACCCCCGTCACACCTTCCTCAGAAGAGGCGGGCGACCGACACGAGTTCGAATCCTCCCAGAGTCAAAATTCATATATGTTTATTTGATTATCGCGACTTTCCTGCAGATTGCCGGTGAAGGATTAAGCAACGAGAATCGCTGGATCATTGGCAAAAATCTCGTCAATGCAATTCGCGGAGCATTGCTACTAAAATTGCTAAACGATTCGCGATAAAAGGATTGTGAATCCATCGAGTAAAGCATCTCTGATTGATCGACGAACAAGCCGTCATTGGGAAGAGGACGATCTGCCAGGAGACCAGTCGCCACCTCCTGAGAGTGTACTAGATGTGATGAAGAGCCTCCTCTTGCTGCGCGGACCTGAGGATGAAGCTCCCTAACACGCACCCCACCTCCATCCAGCTCTTCTCCGTCAGGTGACAGCCGCCGGAGAGCCGCAAAGTCGCTGTTTTTCCGCTCCGCCGGGTGACAGCCGCCAGAGATGATTCGACGACCCACTTCATTGATCTTTAGACTTCGCGAGAAGATCTAGAGATTGCCCACGTTGTCTTTGTCCAAGAAGAGCCTTCGAGGCCGTGGAAACTGCACGACGATCCTCTTGAACACTCAGGATTCCAGTGCATCGCCAACGCATCGCCGTTGCGATGCCGGAACTCTGTTTTACTGCTTTCAATTTACTTTACACTTCATTTAGTGATAATTTTTGTGTTTTTAATTTACCAAAATATACTTTGTTCTATTACGATTCTTCTGGCTTTTACAGATCTTAATTTGATCAATTAAATCATCCGTAATCGCTTACGTAAGAATCACCGGGCAGAACTCTATTTTCGTCCGGTTCGTGCTTGCCTGGCGCTGACGTCATCCTGACGTCCGCGCCCTTATTTCCCTTTTTCGTGAATTTTAAATATATTTCCTTTTTATTTCTTAGTATAAAATTCATAGAAAATCGTATTCATTGAGAAAAATTCGGAATAATTACTAACATCCCTGTGATCAACCTGGAAAATTACTGCTATTTTTGGAATTTTTATTGAATTATAATTGATATATTTATTTGGAAATACTTCTAAACATCTGAAAATTCGTATTTTCTAGTTTTATAAATTTTATATTTGCGTGATTTAATATACAACGACTGAGTCATGTCACCTACCGAGCTCAAACCACTCATTTTCCTAATCATCACCTATTGAAAAATCCCCAACAAGGCTCCTAGATCTCAAGCCACTAGAATAAAAAAAATCATTCAAGAATCTTCTTTGGCAAGGTACGTTGATTTCAATTCTTTTTATGGAGTGATCATTATTTTTATATCCTTGGTCCTTATAGGAATTGAGTGAACCATAAGATAGCCTAACACTCTTGATTGAAACTCTATCTGAATTCTTGAAAGTGCAGTTCTTCTCAGATAATTCTTCTAAAATCAGTAGGATTAACCTACTCATACTTCTCCTTAACTTAGCCAAGGATAATCTTAAATCCCAACTTTCTTTTCGGTATTGATATTTCTCTTTAGTCCTGCATCATCTTCACTGAAAAGAGAAGTGCAAAGAAATTTCATGTAAACAGAGCCTATGATGGATTAGATTTCCATATGTCCCTATTTGCGAAGTATCTTTTCCTATAACATTTCTTGCTTCAAGGAACCTTCCTACCCTTGATTCAGTCATGTTTGATCCCACTAGAGGCCCCAATAACCAGAGACGTAAGAGTAAGTCAAAAGTCTCTCTTTCCTCCATGGCCTAGGGTCTATTTATCTGCAGATATTGACCTCTTTTAATTGACTCCAACAACATTAATTTCTTATTTTCTCTCCTGGAATAGCGAGGCATCTAGACAAGAAAAGGACCACAATTCGGAAGCCATGCTTGTGAAGTGACTTGGTACTTTTTTGTTGGAGAGACTGTAAGTCATCTTCCAATGCATCAGTTACATCACAGATTGATATCCCGAGGGGCAGATGCCTTGATAACCAGGTGTATGAAGATGAAGGGAGAGGTATAACATCAGTTGTTCTGCTGCAGTTGACCTGTGTATGCACAGCTAATTTTTGGATGGCTTTACTAGGTAACGATGGATTATAGATGAGAAAATTTATCCTAGGTGCCTGCTTTATCCCAACTGAAATCATCCCCTTCTTTCAGAACTCTCCTTTTTCTGCATTTTGATGCCATTTGAAATGGTCAACAGATCGCAAGGAGTATAAGCATCCCTCTCTTCAAGTACCTCTATAGAGGATAAGCCACCAGAGCCAACAGAAGGTCGTCTACCTGAGTAGGAGGTGAGTGGCATAACTAAGTGTGTGGCTCCTCCACTTTCTTCTTGTGCAACCAAGGAACGTTTGTTATATTTATATATATAAAGTTGATGGCTTTTCTATTCACTGTAGGATATCAAAGAAACGCCCGGTTCCCTTCATGGAGGAGTGAGAGCTATACGAAAGGTCGAATCTGAGTGGGTGTGGGCTCAGATATCTCTATCATTGATTTACATCCAACCCCATGGGGTCATGGAAACTGTGAACGGAGCACTGTAGTAACAGTTGCATTGATTCGTCAAAGAAATCAGCATATTTGATGATTTCATCCTAAGTTGGCGGAGGCGGCGTTTTAGCAATTAGTTCATCTTCACGAGTCATTTCATGTACTTTTTTCCGTGTGTTAGCTCAGAATTTGGCAGTGATCGTTTGGTAAGTCAGCCTTAACAAAGAGTCAGTTAATTAAAGGTATCAATGGAGATGGGTGCAGTGGTAACGGCTCCGTTGATGATGAATGTGGCTCTCATGGACCCTCACATTGAAGGAGGATGTGAGGGTCCATGAGAGTAGTGGCTGTTCCGCTCCTTGAGGGGGCTCGTGGTGGTACGTTATTGTCATGCATGCTTGAGGTGATGTTGAAAAGTAGGGTGGCCGAAACACCAAGCTGGCGGGACAGCCGATGATAACAGCCGTGAGAGACATGAATGACCTCCTGTCAAATCGTCCAATCCGTCCACGCATCTCTCGCTTTCACGAGAGTCGCCCCCAGGCCCCCCGTTAAGAAGAGTTGACGTTTCTCTGGCAGCGCAAGAGGAAGTCTTGACGCCGTCGTGTTCAAGCTGGCTGGAGCCCCATAAAGGCAGACACTAGGCGCCACCGACAGCCCCGAGGCGCCAGCTGTCCGTTTCGAGCCGAAAATAGCGAATTACGCGGTATAACAGCTTGCATGAGAGCCCCCACCCCCCGGTACGCAGCGCTAAGTGGGAACAACTGCTGCAGCGTCATCACAAGGCCTGGCTTGTCTCCGTACCGGTGACAGCTGGAAGGTACCGGTCCCCACTCGCCCTCCGGCGACGCACGCGACGGGGAGAAGGGCTTCTCAGGGCGCGTAGGCGGTGCTCCAGAACTGCCGTCGAGTGCCCCGGTCGAGGATCCGGAGGAGAACCTGGTTGCTGGTGCACCGTGGTGTCTTGAACTGCCCCAAGGTTCCCCCAATGCCGACAAAGTAGTCCAGTATCTTCTTGAAGGTGCCCGTCTCCACCACCCGGAGCTCCAGCGGTCCGATGGAGCCATTGCGCCTCAACTCCACGTAGCCGCACTCGGTGAATGCCAGGTCCATCACTCGACAGCACTCCTGCAGCACATCTTCGTCCGCCTCCCCCTTCACCTCCCAGTAGACAACGTAGTGCCCTCGCTTCTGCGCGCCGTCTCCGACGATCGCGTGACTGGTAAAATCGATCAGTTCTGATCTCGCTCGGGCCAGCAAGCGAGAGGCATTCTCCACGGCCAGCTGCAAGTCTTTCTCCGTGCTCCTGTCGACGTTCACGGTGAGGAAGACCTTCCTCCGGGAGACGAAGCTCAGTTGGGGGGCGCCCTTGTAGAAACCCCTTACCTCCACCACGTCTCCGAGCTTGTACCTGTACAGTCCTGCGACATGGAGAAATCGAGATGAGTTGCTCAAGCATTGGATGATAATACCTGGATCATGGACTGTATGTGAGAGAGGCACACGGGGGAGATACACATGCCATTAACGTGAAAAAAGAGGTCGAGTGCAGATCACTGGATAATGACGTGTCTCTAGGGCTCATGCTGCTCGGGAAGACACCCACGCCATATGTCAGAGGCTCATCACGCACAAAGGAACCTTCCACTAAGGCATTTAAAAGTGTTCAGTCTAAATCCTCAAATTAGTTTTCGGTGAGACGAAACGAGGAGATGCGTCGGCCAGGGGCCACGAGTGCTGGCTGTCACGTCTACATTAGTGAAGGCCGGGATGCGATTAAATACACAATGAACGAGGAGATTTGAGAATCATATCAGGCAACTGTGAGCAAGAAAGGTGCAAATCGGGATAGCAACACGGAAGTTGGGTAAAAATGATGTCGGAAAGAGAAGAAATGACGAGGGTGCATGAAACATCTTCTGGGAACTTAAGGAATTCTTCTCTTGTACTGAGGCCGTTCGTTTCAAAATCCCTTATACGCTTGTCCTCACTGGAAGGACTCGCTAATAAGGCAATAAAGAATTCCCCTTAGTGTGGCCTATATGAAGTCAAACAAAGTCGAGGAGTCATGGCGCAGAGGGAGAGCAAAGAATCGATGACAGAAACAGGCGATCTCTCTCTCTCTCGGCCCCTCACCCACCGCCATCTACCCTTCGACATCCTCGTCGCCGCTAGTGTTAGGGGATGCATATCTAATGCACATTTTTTGAAGGTTGTCTGGGATGTGGATGGCAGAAAGAAACGGCTACCTTCGCCCATTTCCAAATCTTCAGATGGAGAGGTGCAGCCCAATTTCAGATTTTTCGTTCCCACTTTTGTTTCTGTGTGATATGAACTGTGGGGCGGTAAAACAGTGAATGACGGAGGAACGAGAATCGAACCTGTGAAGGTGGTGAGGACGAGCTCGTATTCCTGGCCCACCTTGACCTTGCTCAGCGGCACTGGTTCCTCTTCCACGAAATCGTCGGCAACCCCAGGGTCCACGGCTCCTGATCCTTCAGTCCACCCCACTTGGTTCGCGTGCTGCTGCGGGTGCCTTCTCAGAGGTATGAACTCAAAGTAAGCGAGGGTAGGGATCACCGTGAAAGTGACCCTCTCAGGCGGATTGGATGGTTCCAGGTTCACACCAATCCAGCTCTCAGAGGATCCATAATCGGCTCCCACAAGTGGGAGGCTTCCGGCGTAGTGCCCCAGTTTCTTCATATACGGCAGCATCGATCCGGTCATGATGGAGTAGATATACTTGGCGTTGGGCCACAGCGCCGGGACTACGCCCTGCCAGTCTACCGCCTGGAGTTTCTTGCACGTGGATTCAATCCTGCGAGCGAGGGCCGGGTCGGGGGATACTACCTCGAGGACGGCCTTCCGGACGTTGGGGGAGGTGACTTTCACCTTGCTGAGGCCTCCGGTTTGAATGTCGTGGCAAATCTCCGGCCACAGCTCCTCCAAGGCCGCGAAGGCCTGGACTATGCTGTAGGCAAAGGCGGAGGTGACGAACTCGACATGGTCACAGTGGACGAGGCCGAGGAGGAGGTGGCAGTAGGTAGTCTGTTTGTAGTCCCCGGCTAGGATCATCTCCCGCGGGCTGCAAGTGAAGGACTTGGTGGTTCTCTCCTTGATCTTGAACTCCTCGCTTGCGTAGAAGTGGGTGGTGGCCGCGGCCACTGTGACGCCGCCTCTCGTCTGGTACCGCTCGCTGCGGTAGATGAATTCCAGAATCCTACCCCCTGCTCTGATGGGGAAGATCCTGGTCAACGCAACAGACAAGATAGATGATCAGATCGATTACGAGATGTGCGCTTGGACTTTCTAATGCTCTGGGTGGGGGGCGGGAAATGTTGCTTTTGGCCACAGACCTCGCTCTGTGGGCTGCTCCTAGCTTGAAGACCTGGAGGGTGGACTGCGCCATGAACCGCGTGAACGGGACATACTTCGGCCTTCCATCCGTTGTCCCAGAACTGCAGACAGGTAATCCGAAAACAGCCCTGTGAGTGCAGTGTAAATGGCACCACGGGGGCGGTAACCGGATAGACCTACAGAACGCACAGCACTCGAAACCATTCTAGGACTGTTTAACGAAACCCTGGGACGGAATCGTCATCAAACAAGTGTTCCTATTTTTTCCTTCGCAGGCTCGCCGCAACCATAGACCTACGATCCTACAGTTACAATGGCAGCGCCGATGGTGGACAATAGATAGATATGACCGAATGAATAGAGGAGATTGAGATACCTGAGAGACATGGCGGCGATAGTATCCCTTGTGAGGATGGAGCTGGTGTCGCCGTCGACGATTCTCTGAAGATAAGGTTCAAAGTCTTCAGGGGAGGCGAGGGGCACCAGAGAGCTGTAGACTGTCTCTAGCTCCCCTAGCTCCAAGTCCTCACGGCGAAGGTCCTCCCCCAGCCACCTTCTCAGGTACTCCGTACCTCGGTTGATCTCAATGATGCGCCTCAGCGTCTCTGTCTGCACGAAACCGGCCTTCTCCGCCACCCGGTCGAACCACCCCGTAATGTCGTCGTCCTGGGAGGTCGGTTCCCCCGTTCTCCCGTTCCCGTCACCAGCGAAAAATGCCTCTCTATGGCTGGTCATGCCGATCGTGGGTCGGCCGTCGTACTGGGCGGCCGGTTCCGCCGCTCCGTCGTGCACATCACCGGCTAAGGGTGCGTCACTCTGGCGCGTCGTGCACATCGCCATCGTCTGGGAGGATCGGTTCTGCCGCTGCCTGGTGCCCATCACTGGGGAACGGGGCGTCTCTCTGGTAGAGCGATTCTCTAAGTGTCTCTGTCTCTCTCTCGCTCGCTCTCTCTTGTGCTTTCACACCCTCTTCCCGGCCCTTCTCTCGGTGATGTGCACCCAGGCACTTCGCTTCTATATTTGTAAGGAAAGAAGCCCACCAGTTGGGCGAAGGGAGGAGAGGAGGGGAAAAGAAAAATATCTTCCTGAACAAGCGGAGAAGCAAAGAGGAGGTCAATTCATGAGCCCCATTCACTCATCTCCCCGATTTCATTTCCTTTACTCATCCGACCTACCGGACGATATTTTTTGGAACGGCAACTGCAAGTATTTTTTTTCGAGACACGCCGGCGATGTGGTTTAAACGACGGCTTAAGGATCCCGGGAGGACCACCTCTCGTCCCGGGACCACGGCTCCTCTACTCCAGAATCGTACGATGCAATACAGACCTTACGAGGGCTTATCTGTTCTTCATGAATAGGCAAGGGAGCGAGAGCAGGGGACCATGAGAGGAAAGAGAGCGGACGAGAGAAACCCAGAGCAAGATGCATTCCCAACTCCTGAACCCTCCCTCTATCTCTCTCTCGCTCTCACTTTCTCTCTCTCTCTCTCTCTCCCCCTTCGCTCTACAGGCGCTGGCTCCCCGCACCGACGGAGTAGATGGTTAGGCGACCGTCACGCGGGACGTCCCAGAGAGAGAAAGAGAAAGAGAGAGAGAGAGAGAGAGTCTATTAACCAGTTGGAATTTGGTTTCATTCGGTTAGGCTCCATTCAACATTTGGCGGTTTGAATCTTGTCCCACCACAGAAAAAACTTTGCGCGCCGAGACCAGCGTTGGGCGGGGGCGTTCACCGGCTGGCGAGGGGAAGAGAGTCGGGAATGAAACGTACCGTGCTCGTACACGTTTAGTGCTCGTAGAACGTTAGTCGTCGTTGAAGAGCCAACAATTAAAGTAACTCATCGGTTCTGTAAGAACGTGAGATTATCCCAGTACGTGCTCTTATCTCTCCCGATGGGAGTTTTAAAAAGCGAGCGCAACCACAAAACCATGTCTTGATGAAACTCCAAACTAATTGGCCTTCCGGCTCGTCGCTGACTGTCAACGATTTTAGGAGTTCTTTCATCTTAACCACTAGGTTTATTTATCCTAACATTCCTCAGGCTTACAAGTCTTTTCACTCGCCTTTTCCTACCTTCGACAAGTACATAAGAGAAACGATGTCTGTAGTTCAGAAACATGATCATCAGCTCCTACACCATGTTGCCACGCATAATCGTCAAGATCCACTAGCATCATTCATTGGACTACAAGATTCTGTTTCTGGCGGTGCTCACTCCAGCGCACATCCCCACACGACTGGTTACTATTTTTGGGTTATGCATGACGAGAATAAAGATTTAGTGTCAACTTTATGCATATGACAGCCGGATTTTGCACCATATTATAGCATAAGACCTTCCAATCATGAGCTGGTTGATTATATGAGTTGGAAAATCTCATCGAATGTGGATTTCTCATAATCTTCATCTTTCCTCTATCTTAGTAGAGGCGTCTTATCAAAACAAGCTAGTGATATAAATTGCACGCCTGTCTGACCATGGCAAAAAGCTTGATCATTGCTAACATTATCAATATTTACACAAAGTCATACTGGCCATCTTTAAAAATCAAACATATTTTCTCTCTTAAATTGATTAAGGTAACTCCAAGAAAGAGATCAAATGGGTGGAGTATTTATTTTGTCTAATGTGATGCATCGCGTTTCTCTAATTGATATACTACCTTTTTTTGTTAATGTACGCAATGAAAAATAACTAGGCATCTATCTCATATCACAATGATAAACTCTTGGACAATTTATATGTGATAATATAAACATGCCTCAATCACCTTCCGTAAGAAAACATGTAACTGATCTACAAATAGGTGTCAAGATTATGAAATCCATTACATATCAAATTACACTCATCTTTCTCATCACGTTCAAACCTTTCATTCAGTAAAGTTTCTCATATATTCTACCATATTTGTGTTAGAAGAATATTTTGTCCAAGTAAGCAATATGTAGGAGTGAAAGGGAGGACACATGATATTCATTTATTTAATGGGCTTTAGAGTTATTTTTTACAATGTAGTTTCCAACAGAGTTCATCTCTATCCACACTTATCATAAGTACACCGCCTGTACTATGGTTGATTATTGGCTCACATCTAATCTTCCTAAAGTCCTTTACGAGCTCACCACTAAATTTATGGCTTTAGAGTTGGCCATCGGATTCATGACTATAAAACTCTACGAACATGATTCATGATTAGTGGCAAATTTGGTAGCAGACTTTGTTGCAGCCATACATCAGACTATGGTAAAAAAATAACAACAAATAACAATATAAATTCTCATAGATATATTTAAAGAGTTTAGGTTTTACAAGTGTTGGTATTATGATTTAAAATAAACTTTTCAATAATAATAATTCACAATCAATAGAAATTATACAATCAAAATTTTCCTCTCGGTAGGCATCTTGCCAACATCTTCATTAATTTCTATAAGATAAGATACATGCAAATTATGAAGAAGAATATTCCCATATGGGTAAATATCGAGGGCTCTTAAAACTTTCTATTCACGAGTCCATCTATGAGAGCCTTCTGATGTTTTTAACTGCTATCAGTTATGAAAACCGTTGCCATTTTGTAGTGCTCTCCAATGCGCAGACTATATAGTTTATGTATGAGGCATATAAGTGCAATAATTCATGCTTCTTGTTCAACCTCACGAGGCAAGTGTTCTGAGCCATTTTGTGGAGGAAAAACGTCCTAAACCTGTGAAAATGTTCGCAGATATGTTTACAACATAACAGAATTCTTGCCTGCTTCAGTCAAAATTACGTTTATGGAAAAGAAAATACCACTGTGTACAACTGTAATATCTGAAGTTAGAGCCATCCAAAGAAAGATAAATCTAACAATGAGTATCTTAGATCTGCACACTCATTCTAACCGTGATAAAAAATGGACTTGATTGCATGAACAGACAATTAATAAGACAGGTAATAAATCCCATAAATAAGTGGTTTTAGTAGAAATGACGGGCAAACTTGTTAATCTTTTGGATGAATGAAAATCGAGGAAATAAATAATCAAATAAGCGTACCGAAAGAAAGATATCTGTGTAAAACAAGGTCAGAATCAGCAGAAATGACAGGTAGGAGGGCTAATATCAGAAAATGAGAATCATCGAAATAAATCGAATCAGTACTGAAGTGGAACACCAACCGCGTCGAAAGGAAATATTGGTGCGTGCATTGAGAATAACATAGTAAGTACACGAAGAGTAATGCGGCGACTGACCGCTTATCACAAAGAGTAATGACAAGAACCTATCACCTTCTGCCGTCTCAACAGGATCATCATCGCATTCTCGTTATAACACAGTCCTCACTGAGTAACAAGTGTCGGCGTCCCATTCTGTCTGTTCGTGGCACTGATTCCCCCAAGTATCTCCGCGTTCCGTGGGCGATCTTCTCATCTTGGCGTTCTCTCGAACTGCGGATTCACATGGGTCAGTCGCACGATCACGCAGAACTGAACGAAGCAATCGGAGATTCTACCAGTTGCTAGACAGCTACCGGCCTTTACGGCAAATTCAGTGGCCTCACATTCCGTCTACGTATCCTCCCTAGTCCCCTAAGGCGTGCATCTCGGAAGACACATCGTCAAATTGACCGTTGTACACGCTTAGAACGTCAGAACCACGACCAGGAATCAGATGGCTTTGCGGCGAGGTATTTGTTTTGGGGAATGGGAACGGAAGATGGTGTCCTCGCGAATCAGATGGCTTCGCAGTATGTGGGATGTCAGCTGCGGGTAGCAGCGTGACGGAGAATCCTTATGAGGCTTCTGAGTCGGCACATGGGAATCCATAAAAATAGTCCGTCTCCTCAGCTATTAATCCATCATAAACATGATGTTTGCAACTTATTTACCCATTCTGCTCACCGTTGTTTCTTTCGAAAGTTCACTGGTTGAAAGTGCATGAAATAATTAGACCGAAAGCAATGTTTATGTAGTACACTGATGCTATTGTCTATATCTGATATGCGTGGAAATGGACGTACATGGAATGCCTGCGAATGTTGAATGCAATTCTACGGTAAAAGTTATGTTATTCCGTATGTCCTTTATGACTCGCGGCGGATGCTGTTTTGTCTGAAGAAAGAGAAGATGGAAGGTGGGCTACGTGACGTGAACTTCATCCTCAGCTGCAGTCTTGAACATCATAGGGCATGCTTCATGTGGTATTCGGAAGAGATCCTAGGTCATCAGCTTCTCTTGAAGGGGAGTTGAGCCATTACAACTACAAATTCTGTTATTCCTCGGCCATGCGAACGCAGTTCCATCTCATTGTGGGTACTTTTAAAGACAGACTAGGCATTTTCTTTATATGCCATTGGGGGACGAAAGGGTTGGGCGGAAACTTCAGAACTCCATCAGCATTAAATAAGAGAGAAATCCAGACGGAATTCAGATTGGGATGGAGAGACTGGTGTTGAGGTCCCTTAATCCAAACATGACTCATATGGATGTGCAAAGTGTCGGAGAACCCAATTGAAAATATATATGATCCGATTTGAATTGTTTCTTGCAATCTCTTCGTCGTATCTTAACGTAGATGATCAAGTGACTTCTAGGATAGAGCAAAGTACTAGAAATAACATCATACATAGACATAAATAACATCATATACCCATATACATATGGATCATTTGAATATATATAGAGGGGGAGAGAGCAGCTGCTCGAATATGGCCGTCGTGATCCCCCAGATGTACCCCAAAGACACGAAACTCC